CAGCAGTAGCAACAACATCCGCAACATCAACTCTACCACCACCACCAGCAGCAGCAGCAGCAGCAACAGCAACAGCAAAACGTCAACACCACCCCCAGCAGCAGCACCATCAACACTACCACCACCACCAGCAGCAGCAGCAGCAGCAACAGCAACAGCAACAACGTCAACACCACCACCAGCAGCAGCACCATCAACACTACCACCACCACCAGCAGCAGCAGCATATTATTTTATCACATATAACATTCACGGATCGAAGCATTCGATCCGTGAATCGAAGCATTCGATCCGTGAATCGAAGCATTCGATCCGTGAATCGAAGCATTCAATCCGTGAATCGAATCATTCGATCCGTGAATCGAGTCATGCGATCCGTGAATCGAAGCATTCGATCCGTGAATCGAAGCATTCGATCCGTGAATCCAAGCATTCGATCCGTGAATGTTATATGTGATAAAATCAACCATAAAACAAAAAATCGAATTATGAAACAAAATACATGCCATACATTAGGAGTTACATGCCAGTAGACGAAAACGGACTAAACCACAGATCTATGTCTCTGCATACATAACCATGCTGTCTCATCAAACATCAGACTATATGTTCTTCACTATTGCGTGATCGCACACGTATGAAGTTTGGCCAACCTGAAAACTGGGTTTGCCACAAAAAATAACATGTTGCCTAGTAATGTACCTGTTGTAGGCCAACTGCAACTGCAGTCGTGCGTGATCCGCCGTTTCCACAGTAACAATGTCGGTAAAGAAGTCAGGGCCTAGCAGCAGACAGAGCGCCTTGATCACATTGGGTTTCTTCGGCTTACCGCCAGACAGACTCAGCTGTGTAAATTGCTCATCCGGTGACAGCATAACCAGGTCAGGCCCAAAGATCACCCTAGAACTCACCCTAAGGAGAGTTAATCAATGTAAAAGTAATCACGATTTAGCCTATGAAAAGGAGAACACTCTAATTAACTAGAACGTGAAAACTAAGCTATTCAAATTGGAGATATAATATTATAAACTAGAAATGGCAGTTGTCGCCAACCACATGTATCTCCCGCGATCTAGTATGAATGAAATATCTCCTGGTTTTGGTACGCGACACACCTTCTCCCCAAGATGTGTAAGTATACCAAGTTTGCTCGCGTGAGGTCAATTAGGGGCCGAGACCGAGTTATAGAGCAGAAGGGAAATATGATCAAGGTCAAGGTAAAAGTCAAGGTCAAATAAAGGTCGCAGTGACCTGGTACGCGACACACCTTCTCCCCAAGATGTGCAAGTATACCAAGATTGGTCGTGCTATGTCAATTAGGGGCCGAGTTATAGAGCAGAAGGGAAATATGATCAAGGTCCAGGTCAAATAAAGGTCGCAGTGACATATGGTTTTGGTATGCTGCGCACCTTCTCCCCAAGATGTGTAAGTATACCAAGTTTGGTCACGCTAGGTCAATTAGGGGCCGAGTTATAGAGCGGAAAGGAAAGTATCTGCGGCAGCGGCGAGCGGCGGCTGGACAGACATGAAACCATAGTATCCCCGCCGACTTCGTTGCAGGGGATACAATAATCAGTTAGACTCTATTAGTAATTACATCATCATTAAGGATACAACAGACATTTACACTGCACACACAGTGGGAACCAAAGTTCCCTGATATTAAAAAAACATATCAGGTTGCAGTAGACATACGCTTGCCCACCATCATTAGAAATATTACATGAACGTTTGTAACATTGTTTCCTAACCTAGCCTTCTTTGCCTTGTAATCATATATCTGCACAGCAGCATTGTGTGGCACGCGAAACGTCACCACACGTGTCTTGTCTCTCTTTTTCTGCTGGTCGTTCGCCTGACCCAGCAGTTCCTCAACTGCTGGTGTCATCTGACACAAATATATACGACATTTTGAATTATCAATGAAAATTACTTTATTCTAATTTTATTTTTAATTACATCCTCATGAAACTAGGAGAACCTTATTTGAATACAGGAGTTACACAGAGAAAAAAGCACATTTTTACATGGTGTTTTACAATCCTTTACTGGGATTGCTCAATTGGTTAGAAAAAAATAGTATAACATCGTATAATATAGTATAAAAAATAGTAGACTAATCATTTTACCTAATTTGATCAACAGGGGTCGACTGTTTTCACATCAATGAATATTAGTAATAATTATTTACTAGTTCACATTACACTAATTTGAATTTAAGAAAACATAACAGACTCACAGCTAATATTGAAGATGTCATTGTTTGTCAAATGCACATTTCTCGATGACTCTACTCACCGTTTTCTGCCAGAGTTCCTCGTCCTGGGTAAGCATGTAAGTTTCACCCACAATCGCTCTAACCTACAGAGAAAATAAAACAATAATGACGATTATTGCACGTGGTCTGGTGTGAGACACACTGGCAAATCACACATTATGATAGTATTGTAAATCTCATCCATCTTCCTGCATCCAATCTAAGTAGCTGAATAATGCAGATGTAGTAAATGTATATGACACTGATTCTATGAACCTATGAACGAAAATTATCAGTGAGAAGTTTCAACAGAATCATTCACAATCTCCAAGTACCTAAGACTGGTTTAAACTATAAGCATTTCTGTGAACTAGAGTCACTACCTTGCACCCTGTTACTCCCGAATCCCTATTCTAATGTACTACATAACCGTCTGTTAAATTACGAAACCTTTTGATTGCAATGTGCAAGTAGTAGCTACTGAATTTTCACAACAAAGACCTCTAAAGTAAAATCATGACCGTCATACTCGACGCACTGCAGCCCGGTATACGCGCGAAGCGCGAACAGCACCACCTGGTGGTGCCATTAGGGTCAATTCGCTGCCCAATATGTCTAACTATATACGCAAATCACTTTGTGTAGTACATAAAGCCCCAGAATCGGTGAATTGAGCAGTTCTGGCGCTTGCACAAGCTTTTCGACTTTGCACGTAGGGCGAGAATAAATCCAATGGTCGTAATTGGTGTTTTTTTTTCTTCGCGCGGTACGTTTTTTCCTATAAAAACGATTTCGAATTTATTTAATTTAACGCCCTGAAGTTATTCTGGTACATATC